CTGGACACCGAGTATAGTAGATTATAACTTCGATTATAATCTTCCTCAATGTGGTGTTCCTATGTATAGGATGCACAGGCAACCAGAGCATGTCATGACTTTCTTGCTGGCTGAGATGGGAACAAGTGGCTCACTTGATGGTCAACAAAGATTGGTAGTTAAGGGGAGATTCGCACCCAAGAACTTTGAGGGAATCCTGCGGCGCTATATTAGTAACTTCTTAATTCTTTGCCGTATTCTTGGTGAACACAATTAGGTTAAATGCACTAACTATAAGATACACGTAATTGATAATATGAATATCGAATTTATTTTGGAGAGGAGTATATTTGCTATACTTCTTTTATCAGTTTCTTCTTTCATGTAGAATTTGATTTTTCTAAAAACTGACTTTGAAGAAGTCATTTCACTTGGCACCGTTGCATGTGTAATTGTATTGTTATTTCTTTGTTGTATTTTGAGGGTGGTTTGAAGCAGCAGCACTTATCTTTTGCTTCTAAGGAATTCTTGAAAGTGATTGTTTGCAATAATATCTCCAGATGATTACGTCATATGCAATGGCTGCAAAAGTCCAGATACTGTCCTTTCAAAGGAGAACCGTCTCTTCTTTCTCAGATGTGAGAAGGTAATGTCTCATCTTAATGTTTGTTTTTGCACCCAATTCATGTTAAATCAGAGGAGAACTCGAATCACTGGCTTTGTTTAACTTCATTTTTCTGGACGACAAGTTAGTTTTTCCTCTTGAGAAGCCTATAGTAGTTGATTTTTCCTGAGGCCTGTGATGAATGAAATATTTGCCTACATTGTCTGACTGGATATATTGAAGGAGAATATCGAAATAATCTGAGTCCTCAGGTTAAATTTGCAGTGCTTGAGTACTAATTATGTAGCTCTGTATTTGTTTGTTTTTTCTGTGATGTTAGTAGAATCCGTACAGTTACAATCAGTCTTTATCTAGGGAAACCATTCATTGTGTTTTTTTGACCAAGCCTGCTCCTTGTCCCGGCTTGGGGACAGGGTCAGGGACAGGGACGCCACATGGCGCCCCCTATTGCCTGACAGGTGCCCCTGTCTTCAACGCTGTCCCCAAGCCGGGACAGGGGGTTTTAACCTTTTTTGACAAAGGCCTGTGATGATCAATGATTGCCTACATTGTCAGATTTCATTACTTGAAGAGTTATAGAATGTTCTGAGGCCGCAGATTAAATGAATATCTCCGAATCTTTATGTAGATGTCTTTGACAAGTATTGTTGATTTGATCCTCTGATACGACATATAAAATTGCCTTTTAAGTGTCCAACTCTAATCCTAGCTGTGTTAGGAATTTGAAATTTTCGTGCTTCTTGAGAAGTGCAAACCCTTTTTATCCTTGAAGGTTGAAATATTTGTGAGCCTTTTCGGGGTCTACGGTTTTTTAGTTGTGCATTTATTTTGCCCCAAGAGTTGCTTATTGTTTTTCGTTTAAATTTTCTTGTAGTGCGGTTCTGGGCGATCTGTTGCTCCAATTAAGGCTGGATTTCGTGCTCAAGTTGGTCGTCGGAAAGCTGGAACTTGATGACAATTTGCTCGTCTTTAGAACTCTTTGTTTAATGTCTGATATCAATTTTACTACTAGCAAGAAGAATATCTGGATGTACTTCTGTGAGGGTAGTTAAGGAGAGTGAGCTTTGTTGAAAAGTTTGGCGTGAGAGTTGCGGATGTATTGCTTTCAATTAGTATATGCATTATGAATTTGCTCATGAAGTTGCATTATAAATATATTGGTAGTTAATGTCAATTTTTTTTAGTTATTAAATTTTATTTATAAATAAATACTTTATTTATAAAATATATAATAATTTATTTTTTTCATTTTCTTCCACCGATCTCAGGTTATTAGTGTTAATAGACTTTTTCCTTAAATGAAGATATAGTCCAAATTTTTCCAAGACAGACCAATCTTTATTTATTTTTAAAAATCTAGATGTAGCTATACGATATTATTAAGAACTTGCCCAAGAATAAAAAATTGATTAGAAATGACGAACGAAGTATCATGTTTTCTTTGCCTTTTAGATTTGACGAATTCGGAAAAGAATACGTATATAAGCCATTTGGCCTTCTCGAGAAATTTAAAATTTCTTTATTTTGGGTCCAATTGGTTGAAAAAGATATTTAAAATATTTGACAAGTTTTATTGTTATGTTTTTCTGTAACTTTAATAAATCGATAAGTATTTTTATCACAGTTGCTAACTT